ATTTTGTAAGTCCGTGTAGTATTTTCGGCATAGGTAATTCCTAAATAGTGTCTTGGGTGCACGAGAGACAAGTGATTTACCCTTCATCATATAGCCACCAATATCCCCAGATTTTACGCAATTTTGTTTTGAGTTAACTAACTGATTAAGACTAAAAGACGGAAAATTAATATATACCTATATTGCCCAAAAGCAGTCAAAATGACTGGATTGTGAATGCGTAAATAAATTTGTTTAAAATTAATTTTTAATATTTTTTTATATTATTTAAAGTTATATAACAAGTTATTAGTAAATATTAAAAATAAAAAAAATTAATGTTGTACAAAAAGTCACAAAATTCTAAAAGATTGTGTCATTATATACATCATTGTTTTTCTAATTGAAATTAAGAGCAGTCAAGATGACTTCCTTGGGCAATCTAGTGTTAAATAAATAAATAAATGATTAACTAAAAAATAAATAAATAGTTAAAGAAATAACGAACTAACTAAATAAACAAATATATAAATAGTTAAATAAATAACGAACTAGCTAATTAAATAAATAATTGTTGAATTTTTTTAAGCCCGGTTAACCGAAAAGTATGGACACTGCTAATGAACTATCAATGTTGCTGATGAACTGCGTCAGTGTGAAACTACAAAATGTGTGGAATGAGCTTGATGGCAGATTTAGAGTTTTGCCATGTAACAAAAAGATCACACAATAAAAATTTGCAATAGAAGGAGTAGAAAAAATATTGGTATAATTTTTCTTGAATTTTGAGTATTATTTACAGTTACATCTTACATGTTCCCACTTCCAGATCTTGAGCGTTTTGAGGAAGTTTTCAGGTTTGAAAAATCCTGGAGAAATTGTTATTAAAATGTCCAGTCCAATATATGCTAACATTAACAAATCATAAATGCTAATTAACTTAATGGCGTTTTGATAGGTAATAAAACAAATTAGCAACTTTCTTAAAATTAAACGGAGCATTTATTTGCTGATATTAATTATATTTGTGTTAGCAATTACAAAATTAAAATGTTTGATTGCGAGCCAATTAACTTTCAATCGTAAGTTGTTTTTTTTTAACCAAAAAGTTTGAAAATAAGTTTTTTCTTAGTTAAAAGAATACACAGATCTGAAACAGCAAGCAAAAAATTAATTTTAAAAAATTGCGTTTAAAAACGCGCAAAGCTGGTGTTTAATAACCCTATATATTTACGTTAAAAAGTTAATTAAGCTTTATTTAACCAAAAACCCTTTTTAAGCTTAGAAGAATTTTTTTCTTCTTTATCTTTGTACCCATAATTTGAGGCTTAACTGATCCACGCCTTAAATGTGATGACAACAAACACCCTTAATGCAAATAACCAATCTCTCGCTATAAAAATTAGGATTATTTTTAAAAAAATTATAATATTTTCATTTAAAGGGACGGTTAATAAATTATGTTAACTCTGCGTATTTGAATCTGGTACACAATTTTACTTTAGCATATTAGCTATGAGTTTAGCGAGCTTTTCTTTTTTCAATATTTCGTGTGCTTCTGTTCTTTTTTTTTTCTTCTTTTTTTTTAAATTTTGTAATTTCCATGACAGCACAATGTTGAAACAATTTAAAAAAAAACAAAAAAACAAAAACACGTTCTATAATATTGTATGCGAACAATTCAGTGTAGTGGCATGGAAAACATCGTGAAAAGATCTAAAACATACAATCAATCTATAACAAAAATTGCTGTGTCAATTTTTGAAATCATTTAAAAGATATTGAAGAACGTTTTGTCACTAGCAATGGGTGTCAACTATGTAATTTCGTTAAGCATAATAATTAATAGTTGCAAATGAAAGACAAAATATACTAATAAATGCAAACGAAAGACAAAATATAGTAATAGATGATATAAAAGATTTTCTTACAAATAGATAAAAAAAAAAAAAAAAAAAAAAAAAAAAAAAAAAAAAAAAAAAAAAAAAAACATAACTATAAAATGTAGATCGTTTCATGAAATAAATTTTTTTTTCTCTTATTTAATAATCTTACTTAAATATAACAAAATGGCATTTTGGAAATAATTAACTCTTTCTACAATAATCTGTTCTTTTAAGACACACGTCAATAAAAATCAATCTTTTAGAGATACTAAAAGTTGCTCCGCCTTTTCCTACTTCAGACCGACAGGTGTGACGACTCTTTTCATTGGATGGGAAAAGGAACTGTACTCCGATTGGCTAAAGTTACCTGTCACTTAAAAAGTATAAGGTGGAGTCAACAAAGTAAACTATTGTCCAGAGTGGTTGAATTAATCCAATCGTTAACTATTTCAGCCCGATTAATATTATTAGCTAGCGGTTCAAGTTACTTGTTCGGAAATCTAAAAAAATTTAATATGTATATTCAAGTAATATTTTTGGTAAATTAAGTTTTAGTATGAAGAATGAGTTAAATATTAAAAATGCTAATAAAGTAAAACTGGGATTTGAATTGAAAATAAATGTTTTTTATGAATCTTATTGTTATCATGAAAACCATATATATGTTACGAACGTTCATATTGAGGTCTTAAGTTAATCTCAACAGCAATCCAGGAGATTATTTAAATATTAATAAGTCAAAATATTAATTATATGTTACTTTAAAAAAATCACACATTAAATTTTTTTTTCAACTTTAAATTAGCTACACATGATTAGTAAAGTATGAGCAATTTATTAATCCTTTTAAACATATTTCACGATATGTCTTAAAACGAGGAATTAGAATATCACATGAGAAACGTTTTTAAAGACAAAAATATGCAATTAATTATCTAACTGAAACTTTTGTAATAATAAAAATATGAAATTTAAAGAAAAAAACATTAAAAAAAAAGTGTTTAAAATATTATTGAATCAAATGAAAAGTACAGTTAATCAAAATTTTAAAATAACTTAAGAAAAAGTAGAAAACGATCTGATATGAAATCAAATTAAAAATTATTAAACAATTGCGAAAAAAATTATTTTAAATCAAATGAGACAAATTTAAAAATTATCAAAATATTAAATCAAATGAGCTCAAGATTGTGTTGAGTTACTTCGCAACGTACTTTTAGAAGTAATATGATTTTCGGCACTTAGGTTATAGTATATATTTAATTTGATGTGATGATATTCGGTGCAGAAGCAGAATTTTATTTCTTTGTTCCGTGCGTAACATCTGTGTAAATTGGCATTAAACAGAAATGGTTGCCTATTCAGGTTGTTCCATAATGAACGCCCTTAATATAGATTTTTATTATCTTTATCAAAAACGAAGTAAAAAAAAAATTATCTATATTAGGAATAGAATCATTATTTAATACAAAAAAAAGTAATAGAAATTTAAGAAAGAATGGCGATGGAAAACATTTAATCAGATTTGATTGCCAGAGACAATATAAAGAAAATTCAAGGTGATTTCTAAAAACGTCTCTGAATTTCCTCATACGAATAAATTGGTTTTATTGTTTTCATCCCACTTTCTTCAATAGAGATCCAACAGCTTTCGATAACTTTTTGCTTTTTCCTCACTATAAATATTAATTTTCGAGTCTTAATTTCCTTGTTTATTCGATTTTTCACTTCGCGATTATTCCAAAAAAAATGGACTTAGGGGAGGGGGGGGGGTATAATGAAATACATTGAATGTTTCAATTATACTCACCAAGAAGAAGCAGTGTGGATTATAAATTTCACAAAGATACAATATGGAGGGGGGGACCAAACATTTAAAAATGTTTAAAGAATATGATATCAAACGAAAAAAAATTACTAGCGATCAAAATATGAAATCAAATGCAGAGAAATTAAAAACGATCACAATATGAAATCAAAAAGAAATACAGAAGAAATTAAAAGCGATCAAAACATCAAGTCAAATGAAAAAAGAAGTTAAAAACGATCAAAATATAAAATCAAAGGAAAAACAAAAATGAATATATAATCAAGAGTAGAATTACTTCGTAACATATCTTCACAAAGATATAAGAAATACCATGTTACTTTCAACACTGATGCTATATTGTATGCAGTGCACTACAAGTAGTCGCTACTTTCTTTCATAGTTTGTAGGGCAGTGTGCAATTTTTTTTTTTAAAAAAAGTAGTGCACTGAGCCAAGCGATTAAAAAAAAAAAAAGAAAAAAAAAAGTTTTTTGCGATTTTTGGGAACTACTTTTCACGTTAGTTTAGTATAGGAACAGGGCTCTAACACAACTCATTTTTCGAATTTTATTATGGGTTCAAATCTTCGCGAGTCTGCCAAAGGAAGCAATTTTAAATGTCCCTGTGACTGCGAGTGTACAAGAATTGCGAATTTAGTGTGACGCATAACTAATATTTAAGTTATCCATTTATGAATAATAGATAATTTATCTCTTTAGTCACACTTTCACGCGCGAATGTAGGCTCATAAAACATTGATGATATTTCAAAGGAAGGAAACATATTTTCGATGTACTTCATTTCTTAGAGGAAATAAAAAAAGCATCAAAAATTTAATGATTTCCTAGCATCTCTTAAATTAAATATTCGCAGTCAAGGGCATAAAAAGTTTAAGACTAAATGAACTAATTCGAAAAAAATGTTTTAGAATAACAAACTGGCTCATATATACATGAATAAATGTTTCTAAATAATTCTTCATGTTTTATATAAGCCAATTTTTTTATTTTATTGAAAACCATTTTGAACGTAATGAGTAAATTAATTTCTTCATCAGCAAAGTTCCGTTCCTTAAAATTAATCTCTACGATTCTAAAGTAGTTCGTAGTTACTACATTTAAAAAAAAGTAGTTGTAGTAACAAAGTAGTTGTAGTAAACCACAAAAATAATGTAGTTTTCTCGACCACTGGTTGTAAGTGATAATGAACTGCAGAATTTAATCAAAAGTTATTCTGCTTTTTCTTGCAATTTAGGTAATGAAGTGCAGTAAAATCTAGTAAATAAAATATATTTTTTTATAAAAGAAATTGTAGTAAAGCTACTCACCAACAGGAGGTAGTGAGGGATATAAATTTTTGTTGCAGTAGTCTTCGTCAAAACAGCAGAGGACTCCATACTTTTGTGTATTATCGTGACGACAGATAAATGGGAAATCAGGTGGTAACCACTTTTCTCGACTGAGGCAGCTGTAAAACAAAATTGGGTTACAAAGTGGTAGCAAAAACGTGATAAATTTGATTCAACTTTAACACATCTCAATTAGTAGAGTGATTTTTTTAAAATTTTAAAATAAAAAGCGTGAAATGAAATACAGTACACCCTCGGTATCTTAAAGTTGAAGAGACACTAAAAAAGCGAGTTTTTGAGAAAATAAGTTCGGAACTAAATATGTTCTAAAAAGTAGAAAAATATGTTCGAAAATATTACTCTAAAAAGTAGAGTCATTAAATAAAAGAATAACTATCATTAAATATGTATGTAATGATAGTTGACTATAATTCTAAAAAGAATTGGTTTACAATAAACTTACTTTGCGATTTTTCGAATTTTTTTGTTTCATTCGAAAAAAATTTGACATAACAAGGTTTTGAGAAGAAACAGTAGGAATTTAAATTAACATTAGGTGGATATATAATGCCAAGAAGAAAAATACTTTTTTGACATAACAAGGCTTTCGAGATATTGAGACTGTACTGTATATCAAAGCCAAGAAATTGATAACGAAATAATTTGGCTACTAATTGCATTGTACATTGGTGATCAAATAGTGTATAATTTTCAGGTGGCAAATTGAAACAGATTCATGTCTAATTGTGGAAACAGTTACATTACTTCCTTCCTATCTTAAATAGAATGGATTGCAAATCGCAATTTTTAAAAAACATTTTTGGTCAAAATTCGAAATAAAAATATTATTCAAAAAATCATTTTATAATCGATTTATAAAGCATATTTTATATTTGTAAATCATCTTTCAAATAAAAAAAAATTCTACTTCAGATGTTTTTTTTTTATAGACTCTTTAATTAAAATATGAAAAAAAATGCAACAGAACACTTTACCAGTAAAACGCAATTGGTCATTAAGTGTATTATATGTTTCTAAAAACACGTAAAAAACGATACAATAATAAATTAAAACATTAGGAAAAAAAATAATAATATTTAAAAATCATAATAATAATCATTTTGAAATAATAATCATAATAATAATCATTTTGAAAAAATAATTTTTTTTAAACATAATCATAATAAAAAAAAATATTTTTCAACATATTTTCTTTTTTTACTTAATTTTGAATGACCTGTAGAATTTTCTTCATCATAAAACGGAAATCAAAAGTAGTTTCCGCCAAAAAAATTACTTAAAATAATTTTAGAGTACATTCTTGTCTACTAGCGACGCTGGCTTGTTTATTGAAAAAAAAAAAAAAAAAACTGTCAGGGTCGTTGGTCGTATTGAAAAAAAAAAAACTTACAAGGATTCATGATAAAAATTTTCATAAACTTCTTTATCACTTTTAAACAAACGTATGATACGACGATTAATCATAAAAATGTAATATTTATTAATTGATTGTGATAGAAAGGTTTTAAGGATTAGCTTTGTTTATTTTTAATTTTTGTATGCCGGGTTTATTTTGTACATCTCAGTACACATCAGAATTTTCTACATGATTTGAGGTTTTGTTACTTTATATTTTCGAAATAATTATCACGTTTTAAAATCCCTTAGAAAGAAAAAATAACTAAAAGCTTCCTCTCGAAATGATCAGTTTTATCGTATTATTCAGTTATTTTTCTACGCCGAAGGTAACAGCAAAGTCTTGAATGAAAATTAAAGAATCCACACGCAAAAAGCTTGTTGAGAAGAATGTGTTAGATATTTACTCTTTTTATTAAACGATAAAAAAGAAAGTCTTAGTTATATTTTTGCTAACGTTTTTCTCGCGAAGTTTAGCTATGTGACATGGCCAGCCAAGTAAGGAAATATGGGATGAGAAAATCACGTGACAGTGGCAAGGAATGTGAAAGGCACTGTAGGGTCACGTGATTCCCCCCCCCCTAAGTTTTTTCTATTATTATTACAGTAGGAGGGTCCATATATTTTTTAAGCCTGCCCATTTTTCTTTTACTTGAAAAGATAGCCAGATTTACACAATAAGGCTTGTTTTTTTTTATTATCACTTTCAGAATTTTCCCCAAACAACTCATTTTTTCCTCTTTTATTATTATAGGCCAAAAAAGAAACGGGGGGGGGGACAAATAATCTTGCCAAACAATTTTTTGATTATCTTTCCTGTTAGGAAATAGTTGAATTAATTGTGTGATTGTATGTAATGCGATTTTAGCTTTCATCAGTTTTTTAACAAGATTTTATCAGATTTTAACAAGATTTTATCAGTTTTTTTAACAAGAAGCTGTTATACTGCTTTCCAATATCTATGTATCTATCTATATATATATGTTACACATAGAAATTTTTATGAGCAACGTAGAATTTAAGTTACTAATTTTTCAAGTACTAAAAAATTAAATCAAAAACGCTTTTCATGTTCATATAACTGTGGCTCTTCTTCATAATGATTATTTTGCGCCATTTTCAGAATTAACATAGAGGTCGCTTACAAAATTTGACTTAAGAATCACGAATAACTGTTATAAATTCATAATAGTAGAGTACGATTCACTACATACACTGTAAAAAATGCTGTGTAATATCTCTCCAAATATGATGCTGGACAACCCCAAAAATTGTTTCAAGGATCCGGGTTAACTTTAAATCGAAGGTTTACACACGATTTAAAGGGTGTAATTTAAATCTAAACACTAAAAAGTGACTAATCTTGCCTCAACATTTCAGGCTTTCATACCATGTGACCGAAAACATCAAGGTTGGTATTTGGCGAGCTTTGAAAATCAGGGAACGCCAAGTATCGCGAGTAGTTTGTTTACAATTTGAAATAAGATGGAAAGAGTTAGCTGTAAATTTCAAAGCTGATATTCATCAACAGAAACAAAAATTGTCCGCTTCATATGCATTATGTTTTAAGTTGTGTAATAAAGATAATTATATTTTAATTTTTAAATATCTGAGAATTGTATTAATTGATTTTATATATAATTTCTATCCGCTTCCGTTTAGTTAAGCCTAGTTCGAATTCGTCTTCAGATTCTCTCTGTGCTGATTTCAATGTTATTGAATAACAAAAATAGTAGCTGCTACTTTACACCAAGTGCCGGCCAGGCGGCCGAGCGGTTAGCGTGCCTGACTGCGAAGCCATAGGCTGCGGGTTCGAATCCCGCTCTGGGCATGGATGTTTCTCTCTCTCTCTTTGTGCTGTCTTCTGTTGTGTGTGTGTATGATGTGTGAATGTGGACCACCCAATAAACGGGTTGTGGCGTGGGCAATGTTGCTCGTCTCCGTGACTTTGGTTCACAGGTGCCCACTGGGTAACGCGAAATGAGCAACAATTCTGGCATAGTATAGGCAACGATTCAAATTCAGTGCCTGCCATTGGGGGAAAAAAAAACTTTACACCAAGTAGTATAAAAGAACTTGGGTGTAGTGAAACATTAGATCCAAGAGTTATTAATGGCGTTTTTGGCGTGGAGATAGACTAAAATTTTTTTGCAATGTAGCGTTTTTTGCATGTGATGACATAGCCTTCAAAGAATAAACAACCTTTGAACAGGGCCAATTAAGTGAGTGAATAGAAATAGTGCCATACTTTTTTTTATTACATGAATAAGGTTTTTTTCTGTTTCTTAACTTCCGACGATTCTTTAGAAAGAGATAAGAGTAAAGAACAAAATAACTTAATTGCAAAAAGTTATGTAAAGACTTGCTTATTCTTCGACATAATCGAATTCAATCACGTATCTGCCATACTTCTAAACATCTTTTAAAATTTCTTTTTCAAAAATGTTGCTACCATAGGGTACAGGTCCGAACGTTGTTTAGATGATCCTCTTACCATGAAAAGTTGTAGCTCATTGCAAATAAATGAGGTGCCATCTAAGCCAGTTCGTTCGTTTATTAGTAATTCAAGATGAGATGAAACTTTTGAGTTATTTAAGGTACTCTAGACTTATGGTCTTCAACCTAAGCCCGTTTGCACCCACCGATAGTCTTCAGTGGGACCGTGTGGGCTGTGAGACCAAGACAAAAAGATTTCTCTATCCAATTAAATTCTTCCTAAAAATTTAAATTCTATTTATAAGTTCATTTTGAAAAAGTAAATAGTACCAGTTGTTCGTCCGGGATTCTAGAATATGCTCTTGGGTGCAAATTGGTTGGGAATCTTTGCTTTAAACCAAAGAATAATTTTAAAATAACATTCTTGATTATGTCACTTTGATGGCGGAACCGTTGTCCACAATGGAGAGGGATAACTTCTCATTAGTTTGAAAGAGCACTGGGTAACTCAAATTAACATTTAAGCGTCTGCTCTTACAACATCATTGGAGATCTATCAGTGATAAGGCAGAAGGATAAGGTATATGAAAAATTGCACGGTATCTCCAAGTAACTGAAGCTAACTATATCAACTCAAATTCATACCATGAGAAAAAAGCTCACATGGTTATGAACTCATCACCAGCAGCTCGAAGTTGACAAGTGGATTTCATTGCAAAATGGAAATTTAACTAAACTCGAACTTTACCACTAGCTGATCATCAGAGAAAACTGCCTAATGCCCGTTCAAGCCAAATGTTCACGAGTCTAGCAGAGACGCGGTAGCTAATTGGGCCGTGTTAATAAAGGAACTAGAGTCGGACTTCTGCTGTTATAACTCATTAAATCTAAATTTCATAAGCACTGACCACCGAGGCAAGTGTGTCTCATGTGTAACATTGTTTCTGTTTTCTCCCCGCAGTGTTAACAACTCTACGCACACGTTGTTTGTCTCAGTTAATAAGCACATGAGGTCAACCAATGTGTTACACATGCCGGGAAGTTAAATATTCTCAACACACTTTTGAAACTTTGGATAGAGGCATGTTTAATTCAGTTAAAACTTTCCGATATGCTATGCATCATGCGTTCTGTTGCCCGTTTATTAAATCGTTGAATTTCCGACGAGTGGTCACAATTAAATTAATTAATGATTTATTTGAATTACAAGACTAGAAATAAATGCACTTTGTCAATCAAATGAATCGATGATTGATTAATCAGTTGA